TCCATACACACCCATTCCTCCTCTCCAATCCCTTTCTCTTTCTGCCCAAACTTTTCCTCCTTGTCTAATACCTTCCTCCTGTATTCTTCTATTTTCCTTGACACACCCAAATCAAACATCCTACCTTTTATCCTCCTCACCACACATTTTCTTGCAGTTCTAGTCACTCCTCCAGTACCTATGCCTATACAGACAGTTCCAGAACCACCTTGGGTACTGGTTTTGTTGTAGTCTCTCCTCACACATACAACGTTGCCTTTCCTCCTGAATAGAGCATATTATATGCTATGCTTTGCTTTACAACACATGTCTTCCATCTCCTCCTTATCCTTCACCATCTTCACTGACTCACACAACTTGATATCACTAATTCAATCCATACCCCTATGAACCCTATAGTCTGTTAAATACAGAATCAGTTCTTTTGTCTGCCTACACAATAGAAAAATGTTAAAAATTGGCTGGATACCCAGCCATGTCTGGATCCCTATCAATGAAAACCCAGATGCCTTGGCACAATCCTTCAGCTAGTCCACAGCCACCAAGCCCACTTTTCACACATCCTAGCCACCGACTACTACCCTTACTTCAAAACTTTCCTCTATGACCATTGGCAATCTTTCTGGTAAGGTCTGACTGCTAATAAACTACAAACCATAAAATCTTGCATCTCTCCTTGGTCAGCACCATACCATCAGAACAGACACTGGGAAACTGCCCTAGATCACACATTCATACTTCATGTCATGCTCCAGCCCACCTCTCTGCTCCTCATGCAATGTTCTGCTCTCAGTCCAACATATCCTACTATCCTGCCCTCACTTTACTGAAGCCTGTACCCTTGCTTTTCCTTACTTGTCCTCTCTTCCCTGACCCCCCAAACTGTCAGAATTCCTCACAGAATCCCCAACCTTTTCAATTAACAACCTATTCTCCTTCCTCAGATGCATAACCATCCATTTGATCAAATCGCTCATTATCCTAAACCCTTCCCCCTTCTATTAATCCCATTCACTTCGTCTCTTTCTACCCCTCAACTACTATATATCCTATAAAACCATGGCTGTTGAAATTATAGACATTTTGTTCTAATAAAGAACTTTAAACCCCTTTCACCATAATACTTGTTGATTGTTCTCTCAAGCTTTTTCTGTTATATAGGTGGTTTGGTAAATAAGGAATTCAACACAGTGACAGACAAAAGTAAACATGGAACTCAAAATGTATATCTGTTTTTAAGGAGTATGGAGTCAGAAGTGCTATGTCTGCAAGGACCAAGATGAAAACACTGGAAAGTGTGCAACAACAGTGCAAGAATGCAGCTTTGGAGAAAATTACTGTCTTTCAGAAATTAAATGGAGTAGTAAGTAGCATACAGGATTTCTGTTTCAAGACATGATGTTTATAATGTAATACTGAGATGGACTATATTATTTACCTAGATTTTGCCTATAAATACACTGACTTACTTGCATTTACAAAGGTACACTCTTCTGGGAGATTGGTGCTCCAATGCAGTATTATATCAGCAAGAAATGTGCAACAGAGGAAGAATGTGTGGCTACCAAATCAAAATATATGACATATTGTCAACGGATCTGGTGGAGAGATTGGAAATGTGCTGAATGCTGCAAAGGTGATCGTTGCAATTACTACATCACGGTGAGTTAAATTAGGTTTTAGTTAATATATAAGTTGTCAGTTTGGGGCTGAAACATGGAGTTTCAGATTAAAAATGTAGTACATAGAATGGATCATATGTAATGTTTGTTTATTGCACTCAAGATAATAATTTCATCCTCTTTTTCAGCTGGGTTCATCTACAGTCTCATCAAACATTGCATTGATGTTGTTGGCAGGAACACTCACACTTTTGCTCCCAATGTTCCACTGATCATGATTCTGCCCTTTAAAGTGTTAAAGTGATGTGTGTAGAAAATGCAATGATATTATATGTCAAGATGTGGACAGTTCATATCATTGTACAAGCAAAAGATCAAGCTAAAGTTTAACTTTGCTTTTATCATGAAAAAAATGTCTCAACAATGCATTGCATTTTGCAGTGCAGATGCTATTTTAGATTTTAATGCACAGACCAGCTGAAGAACACTGATAAGTGATATTGTGTTGAGGCCAAGAAATTATAAATATTTCAGTTTTGCTGTAAAGAAAGTAATGATTCTTGAAAGACAACAGAAATATTTAGTGTTTATAACATATCACAGTGTTTTGCAACTGTGCTAGTGTCTAACATTATCTTATGTTATTATTATTTTAACTATGAATTTAGTTATTGAAGTTAAAAGAAAATATTAAATTAAGTATATAGTAAATATACTCCGTCCATTTATCTGTCCAGAATTTTTATGAAGTGATTTTAATATTTTGTTATATTGTTGGGCCTTTTAGATGGTTAATATATTTTAGAAGAATTCTTGTAAAAGCAGATATTGAGGCAACCCAGTTCAGAGGATAGATTAACCCCTTGGTGCCGGGTGACGCCGATCGGCGTGTACACAAAGAGCTCAAAAGCTGGCGTGCAGCCGAACGAGCCGGCGGCGCGCCAAAGTGCGGCGAGCCAGTGATTCGGGCTGATGTCCCTTACTCATGCGCTCAAAGTCGGCGCGCCGCCTTTGTTTGTTTAAGCGTAGAGTTTTTTTTTCTTTTGTACACCTGGCGCCATTGGGTTAAAGCAATGTGTTCGTAAGCTGTCAGAATAAAACTTAATTTTGAATATTGTACAATTTTTAGTTGAGTGAAACAGTAATTATTTGTGTTATTACTTTTTGAAAAGACTGAAAGTAAAGGACATGAGACTAAGATTTCTTTTGCCTGTCATAGGCAAACTGTTCAGACATTCCAAGGCAAGTATACAAGATGTTCCATAAACATCATATTTTTATAATATTGCTATAAAATATATGTATATTCCGTCCATTTATCTCTGGAATTTGTATGAAGTTATTTTCATATTTTGTTATATTGTGGTGGTCCCTTTAGATTCTTAATATATTTAGAAGAAGAATTCCTGTAAAAGCAGATAGTGAGGAAGCCCAGTTCAGGAGAAGGATTCCAATAAGATGTTTTTAGGCTGCTAAAATAAGACTTCATTTTGTATATTGTACCAAGATGGTGTGTGTGCACAAATTTTAACCAAGGAAAAAGGTAATTGATTGTTATTACTTTCTGAAGGAAGGTAAATGACATAGGAGAAAGATTTCTTTTGCCTGTCATAGGCTAACTGTTCAGACATTCTGAGGCAAGAATGCAAGGATGTTGGCATGAATTTTTTTTTTTTTTTTTTTTTTCTTCTTCTTTCTTTCTTTTCTTTTTCTTTTCTCTTCTGCAAATACATTAGTTGCGCCAAATGTCTAGGGGTATTGAGGAAAAGGCCACAGGAGTAACAAAGGATTCTGGGCAGTCAGCCAATAACTGAGAATAAACCTCAGTCTCCAGTCAGTTTTGTTAAAAATTTGTTGGTCTTCACTTGCTGTTCTATTGACTTGTGGTCTTTGTTTTTGTCATTTTATTTTATTTTCACACTTAACTTCTACCATGAATTTGATTCGAGATAAATAATAACAATTATTGAAGTCCACGTTTTACTCATCCTTGTACAGATTTGTGTGTTTCCATCTATCCATCCATCCATCCCCCTCTCAGCCCCCCCCCTCCCTCTCCCTCCCTCCCTCCCTCCCTCCCTCCCTCCCTCCCTCCCTCCCTCCCTCTCTCTCTCTCTCTCTCTCTCTCTCTCTCTCTCTCTCTCTCTCTCTCTCTCTCTCTCTCTCTCTCTCTCACCATATTATTTGTCTTTACTCTAACTTTTTGCGATTCAGGATGATGCTGAGCACCCAAAGATAGATCTAAATAGAATGGAACTTTTGTCAGTTCTTGTGGATTCATAATATAAATTTGTTGCATAAATGTGTTGGCAATTAAGAGTTCCCTTCTGTTTTGTGAGTTATTTTCATTATATTCTTAGTTATGGTTATTGTAATAACAATAATTCTTATTTTAATAATGGTTATTATAATAACAATAATTCTTATTATTGTCATTCATGATCATTATTGTTAGTTTTATGATCTTGGATAATATTAATAATGATGCTGATATAGATTTTATGGCATTCAAGATACATCTGATATATAGTTAGTGTTCAGTATTGGAAAACAAAATTTGACCAGTAAATTCTTAATGTTAACCAGATCCTCCTAGGGATGGTACTCTGAACCCCAAAATTTCATATTTCTGGTTATTTTAAAGTTTAAAATTACATGGGTACAGCTGTTGTTTATTATTGTCTTTGTGACTTAAAACATGATGTAGGATACAGGATTATTTTAAGTCCATTTTTTTTAAATCAGAAAGAAGTGCTTCTTGAATGTCAAAATAGTAACGTTATGACAGATAAGGCGTGTAGGACCTCACATTACATTATGCAAAATGTTAATTTGTTTCATTTTATTATAAATAATATTTCAAGACTGATTAAACAGAATAATGTGACTGAAATTGAAAATTAAAAGATTTTTAGTACTTAAGAATCTAACCAAAAGAATCTCTCCATTATGTAAAAAATAATCTGTTCATAACCAGTACATTTTTATAATGTTTTTGTAAAATTATATATTTTTTATAAATTATATGTACTTTAACTTTCATGCACTTGCTGTGAAGGTAAATATTTCAGTGGTATGGAATAAAATCTCTTATTAAAATCTCTTATTAATTTTTAACCAAATTCTTGACTAGCCATAGTAAATATTAGACTCTTGATTCTAGCCAAGTTTTATTTTTGTATATTTCAAATTGTGCTACAAATACACAAAAATTCAAAGTTTTATTGAAAAGAAAAAAATGCTGTTTCACATTTAAACTAAATATATGCAATGTAGACATAGAAATAACCTCATCATTTGATTGTATACATGTGTGTACATGTGTGTATACACACATAAAGGAAAGGAGGAAATGGTTAATGGGTACAAACAAAATAG